ATAAATAATAGGTGAAGAACTATCTTACCAGTTGTAAATTTGAGCTACAGCTATCTTCGAAAGATACGTTACCAGGAAAAAATGCATAAAGTAGTTGACCGGATTACCGAGGCACATACTTCTTTGGAGTGGTCGTCTGATATCGTTACTCTTCCGAATTGCAGCTCGTCTTATTGGATATCGTTCTAGAAATGAAACGTACAAAGCGGTCGACTGAATCTCCACTACATCGTAACCTCGAAGTCCGCAAAATGAAATTTTTATTATTACGAACAATTTCGATAGACAAGAAAAATAAATTTCTACCCGCGGCCGTACATAAAAATTATTTGACAGAGATCGATTTAGGAGGCGCGAACGCTCCGATGGCTAATTAATATAGCGGATGTCTATACTAATCGTGCGCAAATCCAACAGTGCGATGTGGATTTATAACAGCTGAAATACAATAGCATTCAAATACAATATATCCATTACAAATTACTTATGTTCATAATAACAACGGTATATACAAAATAAAGAGTCCACTGACGTCACTCAATTTCTCATACAATATAAAATTCGCTTCAAACTGAGTACATTGCACTTATTCACTTGATACTAACGATAACTGTACCGCCAATCTTCTCAGTAACCCTATCTCGTCACAAAACTTAATGCGACCTTCAACTAACCTTGCGATTATCAACACAAGAGCCGGCAGGACTGCCCGGCGGCAGGCTCGTACCCGAGACAGACAATGACACTCGTCCACGCGTGGGCTGACAGAACTGCCTAGCCTTATACGTGTAACCGTGATACCCAAATATTTAAGAGATTGCACGAGAAAAACTCGGACACCGACACAAGCGACTTGGTGGCCTATGCTAACCGCAATCTCTACTGCTACCGACTCTGCTGATGAATGCGATGCTCCTGCTGCTACTCACGTCTATCTCTGCATGAGTTATTACTCGTATATTCTACGGGCAGATATATTATCTGCGCGCGATCACCTCATCCGTGGTAAATCTTTAGCACGCATCCATCTTCGGCGAACATTTCTCTTTAGCGCACGTTTTAGCTGACCTTACCACTGCTTCTCACACTAGTAGCCGTTATGCGTCAAGTAGGCACGCTATAGACGCTAGATTCTGCCGCGGTAATCCTCATACCGGTCGTTGGCCTAAACACTGGCTGGATACAACACAACCATCAGAAACTATTCAGTCACGCCTGCATCCGTGCAACAGGCTGATACTCTCCCTCAACGGCGAGATGATACAACGTGGTTCAGACGACAGCCCGTCAAGAATCAGTGACACGCCCGATTCGACGGTTCAGCTTTATCCGCTGCGCTCTACGACTCAGACAGGACCCGTCGAACGTCCGGTCTTCTCAACGACGCAATGGAAACCCTGTGAAATCATTCTCACTCTCTTATATTCGACTCGGATGTTCTCACTCTGCTCGCATATTCCGGCTCAGTGTCGTTGACCAGATTTCCAGGACAACATATCCTTCAAGTAGGCAAACAAAAATTGCGATCCAAAGAGTTATGACTAATTGCTGGAACAGTATCGTTCCAGTTGCATATGATATCTGAATTACAACTATATTTAAAAGATACTTTACAAGAACAAAGTTGACAAAGTAGTTGACCGGATTTTCAGGACACGCATTACTTTCAAGTATGCCAATAGTAATTGTGATCATAAGAGTTCTGATTAATTACTGGAGCAGTATCGTACGAGTTGCATACGATATTCGAATTGCAACTATTTTGAAAAGATACTTTACAAGAAAAAAATTGACAAAGTGGTAGACCGGATCACCAGGACACCATATCCTGAAAGTAGATAAAGAGAAATAGCGATCTGAAGAGTTTCAATTACTTGCTAGAGCAGTGTCGAACCAGTTGCATATGATATCTCAATAGCAACTATATTTAAAAGAAAAAAATTGACAAAGTGGTAGACCGGATTACCAGGCCACGCATAACTTTCAAGTATGCAAATAGGAATTGCGATCATAAGAGTTCTGATTAATTACTGGAGCAGTATCGTACCAGTTGCATATGATATCTCAATAGCAACTATATTTAAAAGATACTCTACAAGAAAAAAATTGGTAAATTAGTTGACCGGATTTCCAGGACAGCATATCCTTCAAGGAAGCATAGAGAAATGGTGATTTGAAGAGTTCTCATTACTTGTTAGAGCAGTATCGTAATTGTTGCACATGATATTTTTCTTTGGAAAAAATAGCATATGCAACACTCTGCCAATGGTTTAACATGTCCAGACTAATTTATTTTTATAGGATAATTTTCAAAAACGTAAATATGAAGCGTTAAAAATTCTATTCATGTTGAGCGCTAGTTTTAGCCTATAGATAATAAATGAAGCAAATTTTCGAAAAAAGTGAGTTTTTATGTTACCAGATTAACTCAGCGTTTGCCGTTACTCTTGATCCAGGATGCGCTGTAGCTATAGGGATCCTTGGTTATGTATCCGATAGTTATGCTAATAGAACGTCTCGTGATCATCTCATTTAACGGTTGTTTATCTCAGCGGTCTTTCAAAATGAATATGATGATGAAATGAACTCAGAAAACGTAACGACTTATTATTCCATACATCAAAATAATCAAAATATTGTCTCCATCTGCGAATCTTTACAAATTCTTATCCCGTATACTATTTTATGTTTTCCTACAATTGTTGTATATTGTCAATACTTGCTATTCACATTGAATTGCTGAATGAACGTGAGACCCCATCGCTCCCATCATTCTGGTTCTTCATTAATTGGTTCTCAATTTTAACTAACTCCGAAGATCCTATCCCAACTTATGTTAGATGATCGTATTTCTATATTTCTTTATATTTTTTATATTCAATGTGTCGCGCATCGAACAAGCAGCACAAACAGGTGTAAACCATTTTACAAATGATCGTTCAATTCTGTAAGGATAGAAGAGCTTTGCTCTAAACTAATCGACACAATTTGTTAATAAACAAAGGAGGTATAGTTCGCTTAAGTTTATGAGCTGCTGTCCAACACTTTAGTAAGTTATTGAAAAAAAACAGTCTGTGAATTGTAGCGCGGAATACACAATTGAGTAGATTTGAAATTTTTTTTAAATTACAGAAATTAATAAAAATTTAATTTTTTAATTATAAAGAAAAATCTTGTTAATAATTAGAACTAAATATTTATATAAAGATACTTATTGAAAAACTACATGATTAAGGAACTTAAGAAACAACTGAAATAAAAGTAAAAGACAACTGGCATAAAAACCCTTCTGGTTTAATAGGAAAATTACAGAAATACGAAAGAAAAAAACAAGGTATTAAAGCTCACACATGTTTAACGTACTCTCAGATGTAATTTTGCAGCACGCACGTTGCTTTGTGGCCAAACAAAGCTAGAAGATAATACCAAACGTTGCAAGCGTCTTCTCTTGTTCACAAACACTATTTTGAACACTCTATAAATTTTGAGAGCTCTCACACACTTGCATTTAGAAGCCGACGTTCACCATTTAATGGGGAAGGTCATTATTAAGATCGATTATCAACAGAACTTATTATCGTCGATCAGACAAACAATGCAGAAGCTGATCCGTACGCTGACAATATTTCAGAAGCATCGAATTCATTCTTCAAACTTCCGTTAGAAGCGCTCAATTTAAACAAACACACATGCACACACTTGATTGCGCAGTCATAGTCAAGTTGATGAATTTATGATTTGATTGTTGCGTACGTAGGATAGATTCGTGTCAAATTTTCTCTCTCTCGATCTACCCTGTTACATTAGCGTAATTAAAATACACGGGCGTCAGCCTCTCGGCCACCGTTTCATTGGATCTATTTCTTTTGCGAAAATAAATTGCCTTTTCATTAAATATTTAGGCTTTCTATTTCAAACGGTCATTTCTTATTTCACTTTCCAGGTCATATTAGAGTTGGCTTCTTTAATTTAGCAAGCGACGGCATTAAGCGTCGCACGAAGTGCAAGAGAAATTGACACACGGTCACGCTTTGACATACGTTCACGAATTGGGAAAGTGGGCATTACACTGAAGTTGGCGCGAGTGCACACTTGTGAGTTTGCTAAGAAGCTGAACTCAGATAATAGGGCGGCGGATAGCCTTGTTTCGAGACACGATTAATCACCAATGAATAAATAACTATCACCCTGTTATATGTTCTTCTGAAAAGATCGAATGCAAAATAATTCCAAATAAATTCCAAATAAATGAATCATTTTTTTATAATATCATTAAATATTTAATCATATTTCATATATAAAATAAACATTACAAATGAGTACTTATATTGAAAGTGATTGTCGTAAAAAATACAATAACTATTACAAAATAATGTCTGTTTACAACAACGTTTATTGTTATTTTCATAAAAATTTGAGTAGGTTTTAAATAATATGATTTTTATTTCATATTTATGGTATGTTTTATTTTCATACTTCTAGTGGTAACACTTTGTACGTGATTATTTTTTCAACAACTAAAATCAATCTATTTTTTGAAGTATCGTCAAAATCAGTAATTTTTTATACTTTCAGAACTAAGATATAATGAAAAATAACATAGCTACGTTTGTTTTAAATTGTTGTTATAACATTTGACATTATTAATTTATTGCAAATAAACTAAATTTGGGCAAATTAATTAAAGAGAGTTACTCGATTGGGCCAATGAAAAGCTATCGATTGATATATTTTTTAATTTCAATCAATTATACAGGCCAAAAGAGGTCTTAATCTGCGCTGCCTATCATATATACGAGTATGCGTTTCAATTTAATTATATTCATTTCAATCATGTTTGCTTTTCGTAGTGACGAAACCTTAAGTTAAAACAGAATTTTATAGATGTTAGCTGTTTGTCGAGTGTTGAAACTGTCTTAACAAAGGTCCATCATTTCAACTTGTAGACCATCATATAATTGATCTACATCAATCTAAGTACGAATGTTAGTTAGACCTGTAATAATATTTTTGAATTTTGATAATCTTGAGTTTTTTAAGAGAATGAAATGCTGTGTATACAAATAATTTTTATATTGCTTTTATACATCATTAGCAAAATTAATATATGAGTTGAATAAAATTGATCAGATGGATATGGATATTTTTCGATTTTGTAATCATAACCTGATATATTTACAATGTAATTAACCTGATATATTTACAATTTAATTAACCTGATATATTTACAATTTAATTATCCTGATATATTTACAATTTAAATAATCTGATATATTTACAATTAAAATATTACTTTATAATTACTTCCAGCTAAATTGTGAGCTTACAGAATAAAACTAAAATTTATTAACATGTTATGGGTATAACCTTTTGGGTATTATGATGTACTCGTATGAGACATTTTAGACATAATTATGAGTAAATTAACACTTAGAGGTAAGATGCTTTTTTAACATTTATTATATATGTTTTGTGATTTTTTTAAAAATAAAATCAATATTTTATTCTAGATAAGTCAGAGATTGAGGAATTTTCTGAGTTAGGCACTTCAGATTCTGAGTGGCAACCATCTGATTCCAGTAGTGATACAGAATTTTCTGTTTGTTCCTCATATACAAAATCAACAGAGTCCAGTTTGAATTTAAAATTGCCAATGCCAATAAATGAATCTGAAAAAGACGTAGATCAAGTATTTTCCTCTTTTGAATTATCAAATAAGTCACTTATATCTGATTCAGAAACTCTTGTATCCACAAGTTCTTTTGAAGTATCGCCACATAAAAATGCTTCAAGCGATTTAGAAATTAACTGCAGTAGTTTTAATTCTTTTTTGATGGAAGACTCTCCTAGCAATACACTCCTTTCATTAGAATCTAATAAGCACCATGTAAAATCTAAAATTCTTAAGTCTAATGTTGTAGAACAATTCAGAAATCTTAATACGAATACATTAAGTAATCTAAAAATAAATGAAAAAAAAACAAGTTTTATCTTCTACGGAGAAAATTATTTCAAATGCAGAAGAACCAATCAATAAAAAATCATATAGTTTCTTCAGTCAATTTCAAAATGATTCTATGGAAAATTCAATTAATTCAATAAATAGTGATATGGATGGTAGCATCTTGCCTATTTTAAAAACTGCTAAAAACAAAGATCACCAAAGATAATTAAGTTTGAATGCTAAAATATTAAAAAATGAAGTAAGGCAAAACCAGAAAAATAAATTTGCACCAAAAAAACAAATATTATCAAAAGCTGCAGGTTCAGTTGAAAAAAAATCTATAAAATTAATAACACATAAAAAACCAGTGATTAAATTAATAGATTTGTCAGTTAATTTGAAACGTGTGGATGAAGCATTGATAAATAAAAAATCATGTATTTCTAAAACAACATTGAATGTAACTGAAAGTGATATTAGAATATTGCCTGATAAAGTTGATGGTAATTTTCAAAATAATGCCATAGAAGATTTCATTGGTGGTGATATAGATGATAGTATCCAGCCTAATTTAATAACTACTAGAGAGAATGATCTTAAAACATGTACAAGTTCAGATATTCGATCAAAAAATAAAGTAAGTAAAAATCAGAAAAATAAATGTGTACCAGAAAAACTAAAAGTCAAAAGTTCTACACTAAATAAAGAGCCAGTAGTTGAATTCAATGCCTCAGCTAATAGCAGTTTAGATTTGTCAGTAAATTTGAAAGGTGTGGGAGAAGTATTAAAAAATAAAAAACATTTATTAGTATCAACAAGCTCGGATGGTATTAAAAGAAATTGTTGTTTATACTGTGTTTTAAAATGCATTTCAACTAAAGAACTCCAAATAAAAGTTTTGTACGCAAATCTTGTAGATCACTATGAAGTTGCTCATTCAAATGAAAAATTAGTTAAACTATTGGTTAAAATTAAAAAAGCACTATTCATTAAGTGTAAACCAAGATTAGAAAAACAGAGGGAAAGGATAAAGATTCTTGATTATTTACGAAATAAAGCTAATTATCTCAATAATTTATGTGCAAATAAAGTATCTGAGTATGTAGTTTGCAGAAGACCATCAAAGCTAGGTAATACTGTTGTCCATTATGGGACATGTTTTCACTGTTACAAACAATTCTCCTTATATTCAATACACAAGCATGTGAAGCAATGCACAGAAATCTCATTTGTTAAAAAACATATTATAAAATCAAATTGAAGAGCTGTTATGGGCGATTACCATGAATCTGCTTCGGAGAACGCAATTAAAATTATCTCTCATGTAAGAGAAAGTGATGAATTGGACCAAATTAGATACGATAAAGTTTTATTTTTATGGCTCAATGCTGAAGCATCTCGATGTGCAAAAACACCACATAATCATGATAGAATTATAACTGGAGTGAGGAGACTTGGTACACTTTTAAGAGAAATGAAAATATAAATGAGTTAGCAGATATCTTTCACAAGGACAATTATGATATGTTCATTGTAGCTGTTAAAATCATGTGTAAAATGGATTCGGTTACCAAAGAAATTAAAGCACCATCAACAGGAACTGATATGTATAATTTAATTAAAGCGGTAATAAGTATATATGATGTTATGCTTGGTGAAAGTAATAATGTCAAAACACAAGAAATTCAAGCATTCGAAAAAAAAATGATCAGACTATGGCACAGTAGTATTGGTAATACAATTGCTGAACAAATAGCAGAAAGTCAAAGACTTAAAGTAGACAAACTACCTTCTCAACAAGATATATCAAGTCTCCGAAAGTATCTAGAAAATGAAATGGTTATAGCTTATGATGATTTAAAAGAGAAAGACACAGATGAAAATTATGAAAATATGAGAGATCTTCTAGGATATTATTTGCAGATTATAAATGTACGGCGAGCTGGTGAGATTGAACGGTTCAAAATGAGTGAAATGACGCATATTAAATGTAATGGCAATTACTGCAGAGTAGCAGTTCGTGGAAAGAGAACCAAGGCTGTGCCAATAGTTTTTAGTAAAGTGGAATATAAGTATTTGTTACTGCTTATAAAAAGGAGATTTTAAGCTAAAATTTCAAAGGACAACCCTTTTGTTTTTGCAAATATTCATGATGTGAATAACCAGTTTACAAGTATTAAGTTGAGTCATCTAATGGCTAAGTTTGCTAATTTATGTAATGCAGCAGAGCCTTCAACTCTAAGAGGTACTGGTTTTCGCAAACAAATAGCTACTGATAGAGAACGTAGAGGTATAGATAATAAAGGATTAGAAGATTTGTCATCTTTTATGAGGTATACTCCTAAAATTCATTACCAAAACTATCGTCAAGCTATTTTTGAAAGAGATATATTCGTTAACAGACTTATGAAAGAATCTCAATCTGGAGAAAAATCTTCTTCACCTACGAATGATTCGAGTGAGTAATTGCTAATAAACAAGAAACGTCGATACAAGAACCTATCTCAGATGACCGCAGTCACTCAACTATACAGCTAGACTATTTCTCTACTATTGACTTAGGTATAGCCAACATTTCAAAATGTTTTTTTTTTCTTTAATCTTTAACCATTAATTTGTTGACATGACAACTTTATTTTCGATACTATATGTACAGCTTGGATTATTTTTTATGACAAATTTAAATGCTAATTTAAAAATCAAATTTTCATATATTATTTTCAATTTAATACAAAAAATTACTATTTCTTACTAAAAATAATTCAAATAGATTTTAATATTATTTTAATATATTAATATATTTACATATTTTAACTCATTTTAATATATTATCTTTAATAGTCATGTACCAAATTAATTTGATTAGTTTGACAATTTTATTACCATTATAAGGTAGATTTTCATTTTTTATTTTTTTTTCTAGGATCACCAAGGCCAGGAAAAAAAGTTGCATGGAAACAGAAACAAATAAATGTTCTTTTGACAAGTTTTCCTAATTACCTCAGCGAGGATCATCCAGTTCCTTCAGTTGCAGAACTACAAAAATTCATCTCAGAGACTAAAGATGACATTTTGAGAAACAGAAAAGAAGCTCAAATTAGAAGTTGGATACACATGCAAAGGAAAATAAAAGCCAAAAAAGGAGTGAAAAATTTATCAGAAAGAAATACCATACCATCTTTTATTTATGCAGTTTTTGGAAAATATATTGATGCTGGTGTAACGGCGGCTCAAAAAAAAAAAATAATAAGACAAAAAAATACCGACCACACACTTAGCTCGTAAATTAAGATGAAAAACTGCGTACAGCTGAATAAAGACAATTTTTCCTTTGAACGGCAGTTTTCGGCTCGCACATCTGGCAATTTTCGGATGCTGGGGACAATCAGAGCGATTTTACGTTCGCGTTATCCGGAGTAGCCAGATTGTGATCATCTTTAGAAAGTAGAGATCTGCAGCGGACATGTGCATCCTGCCGATAGTACTATTATTTTATCTTAAATAATTGTTTCTCAATATTACTAATTTCTTTTAAATTAAAGGAAGCACAGTTGCTTGCAAGTCTCTTAAAAAATCGTGAAATTTATCTATTGTAAGTAACATTCGAATAATCAACAAGGACTATTTTAATTAATAGTTTTTGTTTATTGCTCGGATATATTTTAATTTTATACCTAAATATAAATATGGGAATAATTCATTATCTTTCCGTATTTATTAGGATTCTCTGTTTATTACGAATTTTGTATGATTAATTGTCGAATGCGCTCAACTTTGTTTTAGAAAAGAGTGGTTTGAACGAAGGTTAATGACTATATTTATAATAATTTACTCTGATTTTTCAGCATTTCTTAAGGTTTTTAATAGTTAATTAATAGTTAAAACTATTAATAGACTGGTTGTTTTCCGATGAATATAGTTCTTGACTTTTGTTCTGTACTTTAGTTTTATTATAGATTAAGAGATATTTTTGTAAAATTAGAGTACCACACACACAATTGATTTTAAATAAAATTAGTTAAATAATTAAAGGTCAAAATAGTACATAGAGGGCCATCTATGCGAAGAGGGCCCAAAGCGCTTAAATAAGGCCACTCCCGGACGCTCCGCCCCCGACCAATTAGGGCCCGAATTTCACCCACGCTTGGAACACTCCCTAAATTTTCCAGCCAATTAAGCAAGGAAAATTTTAAGTTCCTCCTGCCTAAAAGGATCAAAATTTAAGAGTGGGATGCTGGTGCGAAAGGGCATAAAAGGAGGCCCCCGTGAAAATTAGAGGAGTTCCACCCCAGTTATCCGAGGACAACAGTAGTAGAAGTCAGCAAGCCAATAACTCCAGAAGCAAAACACCCGACAACGGATCGTCAAGGGACTACCGGACAAATCTTACAGTGTGTGTGTGTGGTACTCAACCGTGAAATAAAGAAACAAGAAGGAAAAATAAAAGAAAAGTAAGTTAAACTTTTTAGTTCCTGTCTCTCACTTTCTTTTCTGTCCGTTTCCAATAGTCAGAGTTTCATTAAGCAAGTGTCTGGTGAACCTCTTCCCCCTTTTGAGAAGTTCATTAAGCGAGCGTCTGGCGAACTTCTCTACCCTTTTAAAGAACACATTAAGCGAGTGTCTGGTGTGTTCGTGATAACACTTTGTTATCACAGTCCTGACAGGAGTTTTTCTCTCGTAACAATATTGCTCGTCCCGGCTTATGCGCTGTGCGCAAGCCAAATCAGAGCAACCTGAGAAACACGTCTTCCTCAGACGTACCTGAAAGTGACCCCGATGTCACACTGGTAAAGAACCATCACCCAATACATGTGGCAAATTTTTAGCAAAGTCACCTTCAAAAGCGAACATAACAATTAATAATATTCGAAATTGGGTGATGTTGGCTATCAAAAGAAAGAAATACCAAAATTGAATGTCACTACTTTTTTTAGTTTGTTTTTCTATAAAACAGACAAGACGTTATGAAATAACCAATTAAACAAAACACGAACGCAGTTTTTATACTTGTTTAAGTGTTATACTTTTGATTAGAAAATAGCACAAACTATATAATAGTTTATACTAAAAAATACAAATTGAAAGTACTACAAAATTTAATATTATTTAAACTCTTTATATGATTGAGTGGATAGAAAACTATGTAAAGCATTAAATAAGAGACAAAAAAAAGTAAAATAATGATTTGCTTCGTTTACTTAAAAGTAGAAATTTAATTTGCTTATATACACTACCGTCCATAAAGATTTGCCATCCCCTTGCTGAAATCATCAAAACTTTTAGTTTTATGAGAGTACCGATAATCACTGTGATAATCACTGAGTGTTTACGTGGTTTCATTTACTTAACTTTCATGAATGTATACATATAGCAAAGAATACGTATGGAAATTCAGTCTCTTATCAGCTTTAATGAGTGAAATATCAATGTGTCCAATCTAGTCAGTAAATTACGCATGTATTTTTTGTTCATTAGAAATGACGAAAAAAAGAAACTTAAGCATTGAAGAGCGATCTGAGATAGTAGCCTTGCATAAAGTGAATAAAAGTAATAATGATATTTCCAAAATTTTGAATATTCCAAGAAGAACAGTTGATTATAACATTAAAAAATTCATAACTTAAGGAAATATCAAAAACAAAAAAATTTCAGGAAGGTCTAGAAAAACTACGAGCGCTACTGATAAACACATTTATAGTACAAGTACACATAATCCAAGACTCACGGCACCCGAACTTGCTGTTGAAACTCAAAAAGCTTATGATGTTAAACTTAGTGTTACTACGATAAAGAGACGACTTCATGAAGATGGACTATACGGTCGAATAGCAATTAAAAAGCCTTTACTAAAACCGATTAATAAAAAGAAACGATTGGCTTGGGCCAGAAAACATAAAATTTGGACCATTGATGATTGGAAAAAAGTTTTGTGGTCTGATGAGAGCAAATTCGAGGTTTTTGGTAGTAAACGTAGATGTTTTGTGCGGAGAAAAAATAAGCAAAAACATTTAGAGAAAAATATGTGTGCTTCGGTTAAACATAGTGGCGGCTCACTAATGGTATGGGGTTGTTTTGGTGGTTCTAAGGTTGATGACCTTCTTAAAATTGATGGCAAGTTGAAAAAAGAAGGTTACAAAAAAATTCTTGAAAAAAATGTTGTATCTTCCGGAACAAGAATAATTGGTCGCAAATTTACGTTCCAACAAAATAACGACCCAAAGCATACTTCAAAGTTATGTAAAAGTTATCTTGCTCAATTGGAGAAGAAAAAAAAATTAGTTGTGATGGAATGGCCACCGTACTCTCCTGATCTTAACCCTATCGAACTATTGTGGGATGATCTAGATAGAGCTGTAAGGAAGGTAGGACCTACTTCCCAGAAGGATCTTTGGAATATCTTAGAAAATGAGTGGACAAAAATAAGTGCAGAAACTTTAGAGAAACTTGTAGCACGAATGCCTCGAATTTGTAAAGTAGTTATAGCAAACAAAGGTGAACATTTCGATGAAAAAAATGTTTAAATAATTAGTATTGTTTCGTTTTTGTTTACAACTGAAATTTATATTCAGATTGTGATAATATATTAATTACAAGCGTTATTAGTATTATAAAAAATGAAATTATTATTGTTATGTTATTATTGAAACGTTGTAATAAATAAATTTTGTAGAAAAATTGTAAACAAATTATGTTAATCTATTCTGAGTAAGTAATAAATTATGGTTCAATAAATGTATCTTGTGCAACGATCACCGAAAATCGTTCGA